CCTCAGTTTCCTCATCTGTAAAATGAGGTTGTAAAACACCACGTAAGGTTCTCAATTTTTCAAACTGAGCTAATGAACTTCTGGCAAGATTTTGTCTTGGGCCAAGACTTGAATAAGTTCTATTTTGACACAATGAAGCACTCATGGTCTTTTAAGATCTAGCAGTTGCGTTACTTAAGCATCAGCTCAAAAATACATCATGAGCGTGGGCTCCTCACAGTCTCCCATTGCCTGTAAAGATGCTCTCAGTAACCATATGTGGAGGCAGCCAAATGGAGCCACTGATTCATTCCATCAGTCTAAAGTAGGGGTGCGGAACCTGCAGCCTTGAGGCCCTCTAGGCTCTCAAGTGCAGCCCTTTGACTGAATCTGAACTTCACAGAACAAATCCTTTTATTAAGGATTGAACTCTAAGGATTTCGTGAGAGACAGCTCTTTGTGTCTACAAGCCCCACAGAGAGGCCATTCTCCTACAGCAGGTGACCAACCACCCGGCCAAGGGCCCGTGCTTATGCCCCGGCTCATACACCTGGTGGGCAGAGGGGCCCAGAGTGGTCCTTATCAGCCAAGGCCAGCTGCTGTGCTCAAGTCAACTGTCAGCCTGTTGCAGCCTTGAACCAGAGTCAGCACTAAACAGGGCATTTCTCAGGGCTCTCTGCAGAGTGAGCTTTTGCTGCCTCCACTACCACCCGCAGCCAGAAATGCACACAAACCCATTCCCGAGCTCTGACCCACCCAGAATATCTGGGGAGTTAGAGCCTTCAGCAGAGTTGAGGCCCAGCCAAAGCCAAGCCCTCTTAGAAATCAGGTCGGGAAACATGAAGAGATGAGAGTGAATCATAGTTCTAACAAGAATGCTCCCTTCTGCAACTTGTGGGCAGTACCAACAGCTACAGTTTCAGGGGCAGCTAGGTGGCACAGTGGATAGAGGACCAGCCTTGAAGTCAGGAAGACCTGAGTTCAAATCTGGCCTCGGACCAAACACTTGACACTTACTAGCTGTGTGACCCTGGGCAAGTCACTTAACCCCAATTGCCAAGAAAAGAAAAGAAAAGAAAAGAAAAGAAAAGAAAAGAAAAGAAAAGAAAAGAAAAGAAAAGAAAAGAAAAGAAAAGAAAAGAAAAGAAAAGAAAAGAAAAGAAAAGAAAAGAAAAGGAACAAGGAGAAAAAAGGACAAGGAAAGGGAAAAAGTGCAGTGAGAACAGCTACAGTTTCTTGTAGGTACTGGCTGAGAACATAGCAACTAGCAGCCCCACATGGAGAACCAAAGAACTTGGTTGGGTGAGGGTCCAGTGGTTGTTACACATGGCAGTGTAAACTGATAAACTGACCTCTGTGGCTTGTGGTCTAGGGGAAAGAGCATGGGATTTGGAGTCAGAGACCATAGGTTTGAACTGTGGCTATGCTCTCCTGCTAACTATGGGGCCTTGAGCAAGTCACCCCACTCTCTGTGCCTCAGTTCGTCTCCCTGTAAAATGAGAGGATTGGGCTAAATGATCCCAGCTCCAAATTTTAAAATCCCAACTCTGTAGAAACAGGATCTAGAGAGGGTAGTGAAGAGTGAATCTGAAGTAAGGAGACCTGAGTGGTTTACCCATGATTCCAAAAGGCTGATGATAAAGCATGCTACCCACCTTTTTCTTTTTTGGCTAGGCAATTGTGGTTAAGTGACTTACCCAGGGTCACACAGCTAGTAAGTGTTATGTGTCTGAGGCTGGATTTGAACTCAGGTCCTCCTGAATCCAGGGCTGGTACTCTATCTACTGTACCACCTACCTACCCCCGCTACTCACCTCTTGACAGAGAAGTGATGAACTCAAGATACAGGAGGAAACACATTTTGGGACATAGCCAATGCAGGAATGTGTTTGGCTTGACTATGCCTGTTTGCTGCTGCTGTTCAGTTGTCTTAGTCATGCACAACTCTTCATGACCCCATTTGGGGTTTCCTTGGCAGAGACATTGCAGTGGTTTGCCATTTCCTTCTCCAGCTCATTTGACAGATGAGGAAACTGAGGCAAACAGGGTTAAGTGACTTGCCCAGGGTCACACAGCTTGTAAGTGTCTGAGGGCCAGATTTGCACTCAGATCTTCCCTGACTCCAGGCCCAGCACTCTATCCACTGTGCCACCTAGCTGCCCATGTTTGTTCCAAGAGTTTATTTTTTTTCAAGGTGGGGAGGGGATATGGAAGGGAGAGAAAATACATGCTTGTTAATTTGAAAAAAAAAATTGAATTTTAAAAAAGATCTGAGTGTAAGTTCTGGCTCTGATACTACCTACAGGTTGACTGGTTGATTGGATCACCTCAGGCAAGTCCTTTCGCGGTCATGAGCCCCAGTTTGTTCATCTCTAACATGGGTAAGGGGGGACAGGAGGTGGACTAAGTAATGTCGAGGCTACCTTCTAGCTCTAACACCGCCACTCCTACTTTCCTAGTTTCAGTTCCCTTCTCCAAAAAATGGGGATGGTGCTTTTATCATCAAGCCCGTAGGATTACGGTGAGGTTCCCCCAACTGCTAGCTAATGACCTCTCAGATGATCTGCCATCCATCTATTTAGCTCATCTGCACCTAGTAGGTTTACGTGTTGTCTCCTCCATTAGAACGTGAGCTCCTTGAAGGCAGAGACTGTTTTGGCCTTCATTGTATACCCCAGTGCTTAGCACAGGCGCTTAATAAATGTTTGTTGCCTGACAAAATAATGTGTAAACCATTAAAAAGTGCTGGTGTTATTATTATTCTGGGTATGAGCCTTGTGCTTCTGGCTATTTTAGTCCAGCCTGCCATAAGGAATGATGCCTGTGCATCCCTTGGTTTTGATGAAAGAGCAAGCCTGGCAGTGCCCTGAGGCCAGACCATAAACACTGAGAAGCAGCTGGGTATAGTGGAAAGGACATTATTCTCAGTCAAGATCTCAGTCCTGAGATTTGATTTGGCACAGCTCAAGATCAGAGCACTGGACCTGGATTCCACAACCAGCCTCTAATAAGGACTAGCTGGGAGACTCTGGGCAAGTCCCTTAATCTCTGCCTGAGTCACTCTCCTCATCTGTAAAATGAGGGTGATAACAGCACCTACCTCCCAGGTTTGCTGTGAGGATGAGATATTTGTAAAGCATTTTGCAATGTAAAAGCATCATTAAAATGCTAGCTGTGTGACCTTGGACAAGTCACTTAAAATCTGTGGATCTCACTCTGTAAAATTCTAAGTCCTATGACTTTATTGTAAACAGGGGGACACCCCCTTCCCTAATCTGCTGAGCCAGAGCCTGTGTGTACTATCCCCATGGAGCCAGAGTGCACATGCCCACCATGCAAAGCGCCCCAGGCCATCAGAGCAGGGGGTTCCCTGATCGCCCTGTGTACACTTAGATGAGACCACCTTCCAGTAAGGTGGCCCAGGCTGTGGCCTTCCCGGGAGAGATGGACAGGTAAGGTGTGGGGGGGGGAAGGGGTGTTGTTGATCTGTCCTCCATGAACACAAAGCTGACTTCCATAATCACCAAACTTTTGCTGAGGATTTACACGTATGCTGGACACTAATTTGCCATGTTCAAGATGCTGAAAATTGGTAAAAACAAAAGGAAGTGAATGGCTTTGGGTACCTTGCTATAACTGTCTCTGAACAGAATACCCAGATCTGTCCTACTTGTGGTCCTAGAAGTTTCCTAACTTGAAACTCTAAGGCATCAGTACAAGGGAGGAGAAACCATACAACCTTATAGTTGAGATCACCCCATTTTACAGATCGGAAAATTGGCGCTCTGAGGGAAGTGACTTGCCCAAGGTAAAGTCAGTGGCAAGGCTTGGAAAGTAATCTAGCTCTTCCTAGTGTCCATCAAGGCAAGGGTCACGTGCCATCCTAGACAAGAAGACTTTCCTGTTCTCATTAATCCTCAGCAAGTTTTCATGTATACACTTACCTGTTTACATGTTATATCCTTCTCCCTCCATTAGAATGTAAGCTCCTGGAAGGAAGGGACTGTTTTTCTATTTTGTCTTTCTATGCACAGCACCTAGCACAACACCTTCCATACAGTAGGTACTTAATAAGTGCATGTTGAAAGACAGTTCCAAAGGACTTATGATAAAAAATGCTATCCACCTCCAGAGAAAGAATATGAATACAAATTGAAAGAATCATACTTTTTTTACTTTTTTTCTGGGTTTTTTTGGGGGGATTCTATATTCTCTTTTGCAAAATGGCTAATATGGAAATATGTTTTGTGTAACTATACATGTATTATCTATATCAAAGTGCTTGCCTTCTCAAGGAGGGAGAAGGGAGAAGAGGGAAGGAGGGAATTTTGAACTCAAAAATTATTTTTTTTAAATGTTAAGAGGGCAGCTAGGTGGCTCAGTGAGTAGAGCACAAGTCCTAGAGTCAGGAGGACCTGAGTTCAAATCTAGACTCTGACACTTACTAGCTGTGTGACCCTGGGCAAGTCACTTAACCCTGATTACCTCACCACCAAAAAATGTTAAAAATTGTTTTTACATGCAATTGAGAAAAAATAAAATAAAACCATTCTAGTCTATTCTTTTTTATTTTTATTTAGGCAATTGGGGTTAAGTGACTTGCCCAGAGTCACACAGTTAGTGAGTGTTATATACCTGAGGTCGCATTTGAACTCAGGTCCTCCTGACTTCGGGGCCGGTGCTCTATCCACTGCGCCACCTAGCTGCCCCCCAAATAAAAACATTCTTAAAAAAATAAGTTCTTGGATTCTGAAACTTGGATTCTGACTCTGTCTCTTTCACCAACATGACCATGCCCCTACCCCTACAGCCAGGGAAAGCTGGGGAGCTTAGGCACAAGGACTTTGTCCCTCTCTGAGTGGGTGAAAGGAGTTCTATTCTTCTCTGGTGAATGCAGGACCTGCACCAGGAAGTTTATGAGAAAACAGAAGCTCTCCCTGTTCCCACTGGTTAGAAGGGAGACTCAGCAGCTCTCCCAGAGAGCTGGAAGCCTCCCAGGACAGCAATAGCAGCTCACCTACCTAGAGAGCTGGGAGACTGGAACTGCAGGACTGGACTCCACTCACTCCATTGGCTCCTATAGCTGAAAACGTCTTCCTCATCACCCAGGGGTTCACCTACTTCCTGCGAGCCTAGGCGACAGCGCAGCTGGGCCTCATAGGTCAAGCCAGGACCAAACTCGAAGCTTTCAATGGTGGCCGAGGTTACCCCCGCAATGTGATCTTTATGTCTTGCCCGCTGTGGGGGATTCATATACATGTCAACAGGCAGATCTGAAGCTCAAGGCAGAAAGCCTGGATCCTGGGCCTCCACAAGCCCCCATAACCCCCCCCAGGCCCAGTCTGTATGGAATGTGAGTATCTCCCAGACCATTCCTGCCTTATAGCAATCATAGTCTTGGCCTCCTGGGCCTTTGTGTCAGGATGTCTGTCTTGGGTCAGCAGCCTTTAGACAGCAGGGGGCTGGGGCCATGCCCACTTCTCTGCGTCAGGTACCATGCAGTTTGGGTGCTGAAGAAAGGCTTAGGGGGAAGGAAGAGTGGGAATGAGGATGCTGATATTAGGGTTGGTCTAGCAGGCTAGAGAGGCTAGGAAAGACTGCTTATGTCAGAGACACCCCCACCCAAAAGGCTCCCCAAGCTGGGGAAATTGGGGGATGCTGACACGTCTAGGTCAGCATCCTTACCTCCCAGGCTTCCCCAGGCTGCCTCAAGGCCAGTTCATAGCTGAGGGACCTGTACAGCTCTTCGATTGGAGGGTTCCAGGAAATGATGCAGCCTCTAGAGCTGACATTGCTCTGCAGGTTGGAGGGAGGATCGAGCTTGACTGGAACAGAAAGAACCCAGCTGAATCTGGGCCTGGGATCTGAAGGCTGCCTGTGGCCGCGTCTGACTATTTGGTTGGGAAGGGGAAACTGAGCAGGGGTAGGCAGGCCCTTTTCAGATAAGGAGTATGTCCCCCATCCAGTCCCACCTTCCAAAAGCCCTGCAGGGACAGAGGGTGCCAGATAGGAGACTGGGATCAAAGAGTCGGCAAGTAGGGAAGGAACTGAGCAGGAAAATGCTGGTCAGTGCCCTTTGTGCAGATTTTAAGGAAAGGAGGCTCTAAGGCTTCCATTGGTGATGTGATCCCTTCATTGTAGAAGTTTTTGATTTTCCTATATCTAACTGAAATCCTTCCTGTTGCCGATCATACTGATTCTCTCTTGTCCGATCCCTCCGTGGACACTGAAGTAGTGGCTCCTGGTCATCCAGCAGAGCCACCTCCATAACGGAAGGGCCTAGAAGAGGGTCATGCTCCCTCATTCCGCTGACAAGTTGTTAATCACTTCCCACCATTCCCAAGGTACATACAACTGTGTCTGCTCTAGACTCTAAAACTTGAGCTCCTGTCTGATTCTGAACAGAGACCCTAGACTTGCTCCTAACTCTAAGTCTTTCTTTGCAAAATGAAGCAGGACAGGTAGAGACACTGGGTGATAAGAAAGCCCCCTGGCATCTTCCTAAACTCAAAGGATGTGAACATAAAGCATCAAGGCTAAGAGGCTGTAATGTGGCTCTTTCAAGGAGCATAAGCCCATCTTCCTTGGATCTAGCCACCCACTGACATGTTGGACATATCAGTGCTTTGTGTTTCTTTGGGATTGGGTTTGGTTTTTTGTTTGTTTGAGACCAGGTCTTCTTATCTCAGCCAAGCACAGTTGCTGCTTATGGCCTGATCCCAGAGCTGATAATTATGGAAGCTTTAACCTGCTCTATTTTTCCATTCTGGGCTGGTTCATATTTCCTCAGACAATCTGGCCATCCACTTCTAGGGATTTACCTTTTTTTTTTTTTTTGGCTAGGCAATGGGATTAAGTGACTTGCCCAAAGCCACACAGATACTAAGTGTTATGTGTCTGAGGTCAGATTTGAACTTAGGACCTCCTGATTCCAGGGTTGGTGCTCTACCCATTGCGCCACCTAGCTGCCCCTGGGATTTACCTTTTTAAAGCTGGATTTAGTGTCAACATCCAATCAACTTTAGCCCTACTCTCAGAACTCCCAAACTCGGGCTATCTACAGCCTCAGCCTCCCCCAGTAATGTGCTACCACACTCAGCAACTAACACATCACTGTTCCTGAAGGCTAGAAAATTTCCTTGCCTGGAATACCCAGTACTCCTACTCCTATCCTTCTGATCCTGGGGTAAGATAGCACTCACTGTTCTGCCTGGGCAGATAGTTGGGGTCCAACAGATACACCAGGTCCACTCCAGATATGCTGCCATGGAAACTGATGGTGAACTCATCAAATACTGTCAGTATTCTGTTTAGTGGGAGTTCTAGTGCAGGTACCCATCTGGAGGATGCAGCTGTAGTTTTCATGTGGTTCCAAGTTGCTACATAGCACAAGCATGGAAGGAGTGGGCTAGTTAGATGTAAGAGGGATATTACCTCAACAGAATTACAGATGTCCCTGGATTCTTCATCTTTGATTCTAGGATGTAGGCCTTTCCCTTACAACCCCTCCTCTCTACCTCCACCAAACCTATGAGTCCCCAAGGTCTACTTCTTCCAAAAAATGTTCCCTGATACTCCAGCCTATGCTGATCTCCTCTTCTGACCTTCAATTAAAAGGGATATAAAAAATAAATGAGACATGGTTCCTGCCCTCAAGAAGATTAAAGTCTTAAAGGAGAGGGAAATGTGACATGGATGTGAATAACTATAATACAAGTTACCATATGATAAGGGTCATAAAAGAGGGACAAGAAAAAGTGCTGTGAGAATGCAGGAGATGGAGAGATCAATGAATTGATTTAGAAGGGTGCTTAGATACAATCCAGTACAACTCCATCTTGCAAATGAGAAAATTGAGGCCTAGAAGAAGTGACCTGTCCAAGGTCATGCAGGTAGGAAATAGTAGAGCCAGAATTCAAACCCTTCTCCTTTGATAACACTCCACTGCCTGGAGAAAGTAGCATTAGAGCTGGGCTTTACATATATACATATATGCATATATACGTACACAAATACACACCCAGAAATCATGACCTAGCACGAAGCATGTAGTAGGTGCTCAGTAAAGACTTGCTGATTCGCTGGCTGGTAACATTTACTAACCAAGCCAAGTTAGCCAAGTTAGGAGCTGTCCTTAATGGCCCTGGATCTGTCCTAGGATCCTAGGAGGGAGAAAGTATCCTCCCCTTCTAAATGCTCCCTAAAACCGGTGCCCAGGCCAATAAGTCAATATTCCCCAAGGTCAAGGCTAGAACTCTCCCCCCTTCTATGGGCCTGGTTAGGCCTTACCTGGTGAAGAGGAGCTGATGGACTCTGTCTTGTCTTGGCAGGGTGATAGTCCAACTACAATGGATTGTAGTTATGTAATTATTGAGGCAGGTCAAGGCTCCAGGTTGCTGAGCTGCAGTAGAGAGGGAGCAGAAAGAGTATTTGGTCTTTACCTGGTGTCTTAGTCTCTCTGACACTCCTTCATTGGCCTCCAGGGGTAGGAGAGGGTCCTATTTGCCTGAGATTCAGTTCTGAGATAGGAGCCCTGGGGAGCTATATGATGGGGAAGAAATTCCTCCCTCCACCCTCAAAGCCTGAAGAGTACCAGGCAACCAAGGGCTCAATCCAGTTAGAGCCAGGCCATGGAGGAAGGATTCTAGAAAATGCCACAGTTTCCTGTGGAATGGAGGATGGGATAAAAGGAAGATGGGAGGAAGGGCTCTAAGGGGTAACCTTTAGCTTCCAGAGGCAGCAGCACCTGAGTGCAAATTAGATCACCCCACCCCACCCCAGCTCCTCACCTCCTCTTTCCCCTCCACTAAGGGACACCACACAGAACCAGGTGAAAAGCTGTACACTGCAGGCTCTCTTCCCAGAAATGCCCATGGAACATGGCCCTGAAACAGAAACAACTGTTTCAACTCAATGAACATTTATCAGGCATTTCCCTGAGTGCAAGGAACTGTCCTTGGTTCTGAAGGCTATTAAGATGAAAAAGGAAACAACCATTGTCCTCCGGAGTTTACAATCTAATAGGAGGACTAAATGTACACAGAGAAAGGGAATGAAAGATAGAAGGTGATGGGGGAAAGGATATAGATGAACAAACTGCCCTGGGAAAATATGAGGAGGGAAGAGAGACTCTGAGCTGGGAAGATGAAGGAAGGCTTCATGGAGGAGTTGGCACCTGAGCTGAGTCTTGCAGGAAGAGAGAGTTTAGAACTGGCAGAAATGAGGAGAGCGTGGTATGTCTGAGGGTCAGCCTGCATAAATAAGGAAGGAGAAATAGCAGCATATGACCAAGAAACAGCTGGTAGTCCAGCTCGACTAGAGGTAGGCAAGGGAGGAAGAGGAGGTAAAGAAGAGATTGGAGAAGGGAGACATTGATGGCAGGGAGATCATCTAGGAGGTGGTTATAGTAATCTAGGGGAGAGGTGTGAAGACTGGGGTTAGTGGAGTGGCAACGTGAGGGGAGAGGGGCAGACTGTCGTTGTTGTTCGTCCTTCATTCTCAAAAAGCACCAACGACATCAAGAGAGTGATGTCTTGACTTGCAAGTGAATTGGATTTAAGTGAGGCAGAGTCAATCAGCCTCACTCTCTCCTCCAGAGTCATCAAAGTCCAGTGGCAAGACATAGGTCAGGATGACTGGTGATGGCCCCAAGAGGAGCAGACACACGCAAGGAGGTAGAATGGGTAGAGCAGAGAGGAACATTAGAGATCGTCTTCTTTGAGCCCCTTGTATGCATGTAATTAGATTGTTTGTAGAGAGGGAGGGAGGATGAGAGTAGGAATATCAAATGTGCCTAAGGTTTAGACCCTAGGTGACCAGAAGGATGGAAGTGCTATCAACACAAAGAGGAAAGTAGGAGGAAGCTGCTGGTCCATCTTTCACACAGCTGCCAAAATAGTCTTCCTAAAGTATAGCTCTAATCATGTCTCAGGCCCCCAATCAAAAAACTTCCTTGGCTCCTTACACCTCTAGGGTCAATGAAAACTCTTCACTCACCTTGGCATTCAAGTCCCTTTACAATTTAGCCCCAACTTTCCATTCCAGCCTCTCCTCGAACCACTCCCTTTCATGCCCTTCATGTTCTAGTCAAAATGGACTCCTAGGCAACCAACCACCAAGTTCTCCCACATGGTACCCCACCTCATGTCAGAGAACAGCAGAGAGGCAGAACAGTGCAGTAGGACGCACACCAGAAAAAAGAATCAGCAGTTGTAGGGTGGAGTTCTAACTTTGCTGCTTGACTTGCTATTTAGCCTGGGAGGTACCATTTCTCTGTCTTTCTAAACCTCAATTTCCTCATCTACAAAATAGGGATGATAATCTCTACTCTGTCTACCTCACAGGACATATATGAATTAGATGAGATAATATATGTAAAAATGCATTGTAAGCAACAAAACGCTACATAAATGTGAGCTACCATCATTACATTACTATGGTTAGATTTCTGAAGGACAGCTAGTTAACCATCCAGCACCCACTGAAATTCATCAGCAAGTTCTCCTCTTTCATCTCCTCCCCAGTGGGGGAGAGGATGGCTGCTTTCCCTCCCAGTCTAATTGTCCAATTCAATTACAGTTATTCCTTCCACATCACAATTTCCCCATCAAGGTTTCAATACATAGCAGGTCGGCATAAGAAATTAAATGGCAATTTGAGGGGAGTTTTGTGGAAGTGGCATACAACACCCAAAGGCTAACAGATGACACAGAGCTTATGACCAAATACTTAACCCAAATTTTACAATAAGGTACTGTCAACACCCCATAAAAGAAAAATAAAAAATTCAGACTTCTCTGGTATGAAGAAAGGGCCAAAAACAATTTAATTGGATTTTCCAGATTGAAGGCACCACACCCCTCTCCTCCTCAATGTGGAAGGGATAACTAAGCAATAAAACTAATTGAACACTAACTGTGCTGAGTGCTAGGCAAAAGAGCAACATTCCCTAGTCTCACAGAGCTTACATCACACAGAGAGGGACCTTAGGGATCATCGAATCCAGGCCTGCACAACAGATAGCCTTCGGTCTACTTGAGGCCTGCCAAAGGATTTCAGGCAACCCTGAAACGTGTAGAGTTGCCAGTCTGCACTCTCTCCAGTCTGTCACGTGACCTGCAGCAACCCACCATCATCAGTCTGTCTCTAGTCTAACCTATCTTTGGCCCGAAGAAGCTTAGTCTATTTTAATTTTGGCCCTTACCTACCGCCAAGTTGTGTAGGTCTGACCTAATCCAACCCCTTTATTTTGCATATAGGGGAAACTGAGGCCCCAAGAAAGGATGCAACTTGCCAAGTTTACAACAGAACCAGGACCAGAACCCAAATCTACTGATTCTCAAGCTATGGCACTTCCTATTATATTGTACTGCTCCCCTATTCATTCCCACAATGGGGGACATCCCATTTCTGAAGGACTAGCTGTTGCAGAAACACCCCACCACCACCACCAACACACACACACACACACACCTCAACCATGATTAGTGATTTTGTGTGTGTAGAGAGGCTGGAATTACAGCACATGGTTTATCAGACCTGGAAGAGCTATTAGTACATGGGGCATAGACTATCAGGTAGAGAAGCACTGGAATATTTAATGTTCCAAAGAACAGAAAGGGATGTTAGAGACCACCTAAACTAACCCCCTTACTCTATAGAAAAAGAAATTGAGGTTTAACTTCCTTTTGTCTCATCCAAGGTGTTACACTGTAATTGCCTGGCAAAGCCAAGACAAACCAAGGTTTTCAGGTCATAGTTCACTGTTCATTCTTGTAAGGGGGAGATCTCATTTCTGTCTGGTTTTTAGAAGAAAAGGTAGAGGAAGTCATGAAGGAAAGGCTTCTAGTCAGTATCATTGAGCTACCCTATGCTTCAGTGTAAACTCAGAGGGCTTCTGGAATGCTAGGAATCCTGTCTAATCTCTCAACATGCCTCCAGGTTAGGAGAACCCACGAGATGCTCCTCAGAAAGGTAGCTGGGGTGGGGGACTGGTTCAGGAAGTACTCAAGGGGATAAGGTTAGCGGGGGCGAGGATTTGCAGCTGCTATCAGCTCATCAGTCAGTTCAAGATGTTACTGTGATAGCCCTACGGTGCTACTGTACTTATTTGCCTGTTATATAAGTTTGATGTTGTTCAGTGATAAGGGGCGTGTGGGTGACAGAAAAACAAACACTAAGAGGCAGATTCACCAAGCCCAAGATGCACGACCTATGACACAGTCCCAGGCACCTATACAGTTTGTTTCTGCCCTTACAAACAGAGTAATCTTAAAGAAGTCAGTTTGCCTCTTTCTCAGTTTCTTTCTTTGTAAAACAAAGGGGTCAGAAGAGATGATCTCTAATGTTCCTTCCAGTTGTAACATTCAATGCTCTGCATTTCTTCCCAGTTCTGACACTGTGACTAATTAATAGTCTTAGTCTAAAGACAGCATACTCATCCATCAATCAATCCAATAAGCTTTTATTAAATTCCTACCATGGGCAAGATGAGCTAGACATTGAAGATGCAAAGGCAAAAATGAATTAGTCCTGGCCTTCAAGGACCTTACATTCTACTGGAAAAAACAAGACATACCCTGATAAGTAAACAAAACAAAATTATTTCAGGGGGTGCTCTAGCAACTAGGAAAACCAAGAAAAGCCTCTTGGACAGCGTAGCACTGGAGCTGAGCCTTGAAGACAGCTAGGGATTCCAAGAGGTGGAGGAGAGGAGTTCATCCTAGGCATGAGGGACAGCCTATAGAAAGGTATGGAGATGGAAGATGAAATGTCCAGTGTAAGGAACAATAAGAAAACCATTTGGATGGAACATAGGGTAACTGGAGCGAATATTGTGAAATCACATTACTGGAAAGATGAAAGAAATCAATCAGCATTCATTAAGCACCTAATATGGGCCAGGCAGATTGTGGAAAGGTACTAAATGTCAAACAGATGAGTTTGTATTTGACCCTGAAGTAACAGAGGGCCCCTGAAGCATTTTGAGCAGGAGAGTGCTATGATCAGACCTGCCTGTGCTTTAAGAATCACAATTCAGCAGCTGTATGGAGGACGGATTGGAGAAGGTGCAAGGATACCCATTAAGAAGATATTGTGGGGCAGCTAGGTGGTACGGTGGATAGAGCACCGGCCCTGGAGTCAGTTGGACCTGGGTTCCAATCTTCAGACTTCAGACACTTGCTACCTGTGTGACCCTGGGCAAGTCACTTAACCCCGATTGCCTCCAAAAAAAAAAAGCTATTGTAAGAATCCAAGTGAGAGGTGATGAGAGCTGGGTTTGAGGGTATGGCTATGTGGCAGGTGGGAAAGGTTGATTTCTGAGTTGGTATGAGGGCTGGGTGACTGAAGGTGGGTGAGCAAGACAGGGTGGGAAGTGAAAGTAAACCTGTATGCTGTTGAGCAAAAGCAGAAAGGATAGAAGTGAAGGCCACTTAGGTCCATGTGTCACTCAGCATGAACAGCCAGTGGAATGGGGAGAGGAAAAGGGGAAAAGAAATTATTATAGTAACTGAGTGGGGACCAAGGAAAAAATTAGGGAAGATTGACAGCTTCTGAAAACCTCTCAGCAAAACTGCATTAGAGCTAAGACAGAGATGCTAACTGATTATAACGACCAATCTTGGCTCCAGAGGAGAGATGAAAAAGGACCTCCTTCCTCTCAGTAGAAAAGTGGAGGCATTATAGATGAGGTCACTGGGTCAGGTAGTTTTGCTGAACTATTTTCCTTTGTTACAAGAGAGGGATTATTTGTTGTTTTGTTCTGAGTTGGTTTTGGGGGAGGGGGCAGGGGGGCCAGGAGAATCTAGAAATGACTGTGGTATAAAATCAAAACAGCTTGATTAAGCTCAAAATAAAAATACAATTTAAAAAATAATAATAACAAACAACATCAATTCAATTAAATGGGGGAGGGGGGCAGAGACAGTAGTTGTATCCTGCTTAGCGTCTTTCCAGATTTCCTTTTTTTTAATCGTGAACTTGACAAACATCAACAAGCATGAACATTTCCATCGAGAAAGTAGAACCCAAAAAGAGGATTCAGAAGAAAGTTCAGAAGTGGCCGCAGATGAGCAGAACAGCGCTGTTACTATGAGGTTAGATTTAATATATACTTTAAAAAGAAACAGCCAAAGTCTAACAGAGTTTCATGGTTCAATAAAATTTTATTTGTTTAAAAAATAAAGTGCTTTATAAGCCTTAAAGTATTTTTTTTAATTGTCAGGCAAACCGTTCACCTCATGGGAGGTGTTAAACATAGGCAAGAGTGACCAGGAGACCCCACTAAAATCCTTTCCCTGCAGTTCTGTAAGGCTGGGCTAGATACAGGGTGTCTGATTCAATTTCACTATGGTCCTGCCTGAAAGTAGACAGGGGGAAGAGAAGCTTGGTCACAGTCCTTTCAGGCTCCTGTGCTCAGCTCTGCATAGGACACAGCCTTGACTTGGGGGGGTTAGGGAAGGTCATCCAGGGTGGCCTAGAGATGCCAGTGGTGAGAAGGCCAAAGAGGACTCCAAAAACACCAAGGATAATAATAAGAGGTCATATTTCTATCACACCTTCTGCTTTTCAAAAAGGCAAAAGATGAAATGACTGAGGAAACAAAGTTTCTAACTTCCAAGCATAGGGATTTATTAAGCAATGTAAGCCAATTGCATAACAAATTGGGACCCTGCCTCCTCAGCTTTGGCACTGGACTCCAAACACAGGGGGAAACAGATTTTTATGCCATAAAAACAATCAAATAAGACCAATTAATTTAAAAAAGAAATAAATAGGGCAGCTAGGTGATGCAGTAGATATAGCACCAACCCTGGAGTCAGGAGGACCTGAGTTCAAATCCAACCTCAAACATTTGACTCTTACTAGCTGTGTGACCCTAGGCAAGTCATATAACCCTGATTACCTCTCAAAAAAAAAAATTAACCAGGATATAAAATTAGGTAATCTGATTTCTAATTGGAGGAAAGATTAATGATTTTCCCAGTTGGTAGAAGGATGAGTAAACAGAGGTAGTTCCATGAAATCAGAAAAAGGGGTGTCCCAATCCCCCAAGTGTCTATATTGAATGAAAGGAACAAGGAAACAGTAACTTATCAGTGTGGTTGCTGTCATTGTTTAGTTCTTTCAGTCATGTCCAACTCTCCATGATCCTAGTTGGAGTTTTCTTGGCAAAGATGCTGGAGTGGTTTGTCATTTCCTTCTCCAGCTCATTTTATAGATGAGGAACTAAGACAAACAGGGTTAAGTGACTTGCCCAGGGTCACACAGCTAGTAAGTGTCTGAGGCCAGATTTGAACTTCGGTTCTCCTGACTCCAGACCCGGCACTCTATCCACTATGCCACCTAGCTGCAGCAATTGATCAGTATGGGGCCACTGTTCAGATAAGACATGTGGGTTGCTGGAGATGTATAATTGTGAGAAAACTCCTTGCATCAGTCTTCAGATCTGACTGAGTTTCTGGTCAGCATAACCTAGGTCTTTGCTTAAGGGTCTCTCAGCAGCAGGAAAAGGTGGTCCAGTTTCCCAGCCATGCATGGCTAGGTTCAAACAATGCAATAAAGTTTTCTCACAAGACAGAAATTGGACTGGACCCATAACTGAACAGAGACAGAACTGAGCTAGATCCAGATCTGAGCCACAAGATGGAGTCAATGTAGTTCACTCAATTTCCACAGAACTCTGCCTGAAAGTAACTAAACTTGTATACTCTTTAACCCAGAGATATCACTATTGGGCCAATTTCCCAAAGAGATCCAAGAAAGAGGAAAAGATCCTATATGTACAAAAATGCTCATAGTTGCTCTTTCTATAGCAACAAAGAACTGAAAATAAAGGATTACCCACCAATTTAGGAATGGCTGGACAAACTATGGTATAAGGATAGAATGGAATACCAGTGTGCCATCAGATATAGCAAAAGCGATGGATTCAGAGAAATACTGGAAGAATTGTATGAGCTAAAGCTGAGTGAATGAAATAGAACCAGGAGAGTTATTTATATAACAATAACTTTACAAGATGAACAACTTTGAAAGAACTTCAATTGGTGCAATGATCAATCATAATTCTGTATGACCAAGTGTGCTACCCACCTGACAGAGAGGTGATGGACTCAAGATGCAGAATGACACGCATATGTTTTAGACATGGCCAACATGCGAATTTATTTTGACTATGCATATTTGTTCTAAGAGCTTTTCTTTTCTTTTCTTTCCAATGGGAAGAAAAGTGGAAGGGAGAGAAAATAAATGCTAATTAAATTTTTTTTTAAAGAAAAAAAAAGGGAGTATTGACCAGAGCTGATTCTAATCTCTCTTCTTCCCACAGTCTGGTTCTGCTTTGGTGAACTGGAGTTGCTCTGTACCTGGATACTTGTTGGCTGATAGGACGTACCAGAACTTGACTCCCTTAGTCCTACAGGACACAACCCTTGGTCCCCATATGTTTACTCAGTCTCAATATCAGATTTAATAAGCCTTGGTAATTGTCCTGTTGACCACTAATTAGTCCTTGAAACCAGGCCAGAGCTTCAGCTTCTTTTGCCAGGAAATAAATCCTCGTGGGCATCTCCATCCTCTTTTCCCTACCAATGTCACTACAATCTGAGGGAGCCAGAAGCTACAGGAACTAGGGACAATTTAGTGCTGCATGGACCCTGCTGGAGATTGGTGCTACCTAGGCCCAGGAACAGCTAAGTGGCTTTTCTTACAGGGACAGGAATAGCACCATCAAGCTGTGTACCCACTCAAAACAGGTTTTCCTCCACTAGGTGCCTGCATGGGAAGGGAAGGGGTGAAGGCTGTCAGTTCCCAGACCAGAATTTCAGGTGGCCATCTTTGACCGGAAGGCTAAAATGTGGGCTCTGCCTGAGAGTTCCTCAAGCAGTCAGCCAAACTGAAGGGCAAGCCTGACATAGCAGCCTGGAATAGAAGCAGAAAGCCCCTCAGGCCACACAGCTCCCTGGGCTACTTTGGTGCCTGGAGCATACCGGGGACCTTATATGCAGGGCTGACTTCTCCCTGACTATGGGTGAGGGCTATGTTGTCACTGCAGCTTAGGGAACCAGCAGCCTTGAGGACTGCTTTTTTTAACTCTGCTATTTTTGTGATGAAGACCAATCACCATTATAATTTTTATGTATATAAAAGATGCTTTGTGGTTATAAAGTACTTTGCAATCATTTGATCCTCAAATAACCAGTAAGGTAGATAGGCAGGCTGGGTAGCAAGCTAGTAATTGACATTGTCATCAAAGACTCCCTCCAGGAGAGTATTTCATGGCAGTGTTTTCTTTAGAAATAAATTATTGTTGTTGTTAAGTCATTTCAGTCATGTCCACTCTGTGAACCCATTTTACACTGCCTACAGCAATGTCCCCTAGAAGTCAGTAACCTTTGACCCAAAGGGTCTAAGCACCACTGGAGGATCTCAATCTTAAAAGAAGAGGAATCAAAGTGAGAGTGAAAAGGGGAAAGGAGAGTAGAAAGAGAAGGAAAATGAGATATTTACATTCCAAAATATTACTAGTTGTCCATTAAGTCATGCTCAGAATCTTCGGAACAGCTCCCAGTGCAGCCTGGCCCAAACCTTTTCCCTTTCCCCATGCCCGCTCTCCTTCTAGTTGCTTTGGACCAGCAGCCATGCCCATCCTAAACTGCCCAAAAGGAACCAGAAGTCCCAAAGCACTTCGCCCTTGGAAATGAAGCTAATTTCTCTCAGCTTCACCTTACACCCATTAGGGGCTGCCTGTGAAATCCTGCCTTCAGAGGCCCCCCTGCCCCCACAGACCTGAAAAATTATCTGAGTCATAAAGGAAAGAGCCGCTACCCGATTACTAACACAGTCTGGCCGACTCTTGAATTACTCTTCTTCCTGCTGCCAGCTTGCTTTTGAGTAGCTAGTGTGGTGGTGACTTAGTGCCCCAAGCTTTCTGTGGGGAAATTTTTTCTTAGCAATACTGGAAATCTCACAGTCAGTCATAAATCAGGGTCCCCTCTCCCATATATACCTTCCTCTGAGATCACCTCCCATTGATATAGAACATATCATGTATGTACACAGTTGTGTACCACAGTGCCTGGCAAATAGTAGGTGCCTAATAAATGCTTGTTGATGATGATAATAAGGAATCTCTGCTCACTCCCCTGTGAGATGCTCAAAATGAGGAATAGCTATTTGTCTCTCCTCAAGCTCAAGGTGGGGTTGGAGATGGGGAAAAGTTGCAGCCCTTTTGAGAGTTTGAGGAAGGTCTGAGGCTGGATTGGGGCCATTTTTTTTTAAACCAGTGTACCCTTCTTAGCCATTGAAACAACCAAACTTCCTCTGGAGCGCAAGAGTGGGGCAGACCCCTGAGGTATGAATCATTTGTTAGTTCTAACTGATTTCTCCTGAGGTTTAGCAGAGATACTCAAACAATGGTTCATAGAAAGGAGACTCACCTATCCAAAGGCAACTGCCTGGCCACATCTCCTCGACTCTCAGCCTTTCCAGCAGATGAGAATTGTTCCTCCTGATCAGGGGTGGACTTATAATTAAACTTTTATTAAGGCAGTAGATTTCCCCTGTCTAATTTCAAAGTAAATCCTGGGGGCCAATCACATGGTGCCGAGCAGAGAAGGCTTCAAGAGAGCCGCCCACATCTGCAACCACAAGAAAATGTGTGTGTGTGGCTCATAGCTTGAAACAAAGGGTTAACAAACCTAACTGCAAACTGGTTGACTAGGGCTTTTAATTCCTCTTCAAGAAACAAGTGAGCTGTACTCATGGCAATGTTGGAAAATGAGACAAATCAGTAGAAAAGTTGACTGTGGGGTGTTTACAAGGCAAAGCCCTATCTCAGAGTAAATATAATCCTTTAGAAAGGGGGAATTATTCAAAGGACTGTTTTGTTTTTGGTTTTTTTTTTTTTTTTTAATCTGGAAGGGTGTTAGGGATCATAGGTTTAGAGGGTTTAGAGGGCAGTAGATAGAGCCCTGGGCTGGGAATCAGAAAGACTCATGTTGAATTCTATTCTGGCCTCACACTAGCTGTGTAACCCTAGGCAAGCCACTTAACCCTGTTTGCCTCGGTTTCCTCATCTGTAAAATGAGCTGGAGAAGGAAATGGCAAACCACTCTAGTATCTGTGCCAAGAAAACTCCAAATGGGGTCATGAAGAGTTGGACATGACTGAACAACAAAAACGTTACAAACCTATGTTAAAAATTGCATTGCAGTGGCTGCCACCCACTCTCTGTGTGCCCCACATTTTACTTTTTGGCAAGATTTCACTCCTCATTCCAACTACTGTAATACAGAGAATTGGACTTGGAGTCACAGGATATGAGCTAGAATTCCAGCTAAGCCACACTCAACCTCAATGTCACTACTTCCCCTCTGTCTGAAAAATGAAGGTTTAGTTCATTTCCAAGGTCTTTGCAACTCTAGATCTGGGATCTATTATTTCTCTGACAAAAAAAAAAATAACATAACCATTCCCCCACTTAGGTTAAGTCTGAGCTACTGCATTTCCAAACAACAAGGAGAAAAATCATTACCTGAACACCACCATAATCTCTAATTTTATTGATGACTGAGACCTCAAGAGGGGGAGTGATGACTTGCCCACAGTCACTTGGGTAATAATTAGCAGAACTAGGAGAAGGAAATGGTAAACCATTCCAGTATCTTTGCCAAGAAAACCCCAAATAGGGTCACTAAGAGTCGGACATAACTGAAAAGAGACTGAGGATTCAGACCCAAACCGTCTGGTTCTAAATCCCTTCTCTTTTCCTAGCACATGACGAAGATCCACCCCCCCCCCTTACTCTACAAATGAGGAGAATAACTCCCTATTGTCTCTAGCATGAACACCATCAGCACCACTTGGCATTTTTTGTTTTCTTTTGTTGGCTAGGCAATGGAGTTAAATGACTTGCCCAGGGTCACACAGCTAGTAAGTGTTATGTGTCTGAGGTCAGATTTGAACTCAGGTCCTCCTGAATCCATGGCTGGTGCTCTATAACACTGTGCCACCTAGCTGCCCCTTCTACTTGGCATTTTTAAAGCCTTTCACAGTCTAGCCTCAACCTACTTTTCTAATTTTCTCCCACTCTACACACAGTAAGTTCTAGACAAACTAGCCCACTTGTTAATTGCCATACATGATATTTTATCTCTCATGTCTGTGACTTTGCATAGGCTTCTACCATGCCTAGAATACTCTCCTTACTCACTCCCACCTCTTAGCATCCCTGGTGTCCTTCAAGGCTCAGTTCCAAACACCACTTCCCACAACAGGCATCTCCTCCCGTACCTCTTTCTCCTCATGACTTTGTTTTGACATATATATATATATATATAATATATATATATATATATATATATATATAAAAATTTTCCCCCAAGAAAATGTAAACTCCACAGAGTATTTCATTATTATGTTAATGTTCTGGGCAGCTAGCCCAGAACTATGCCTGGCATGTAGTAATCACTTAATAAATGCATTCATTCATGAATGAAAGAATGAATGAATAAACCAAGGAACATAAGTAGAATGTAAGCTTCTTGTGGGGCCTTTTCCTTTTTTTCCTTTGTATTCTATCATTTTAGCACAGTATCTTTCATAGAATCACAGACTTTAAGCTAAAAAGGATCTTAGAGTTTATTCAGCCCAACCCCTCATTTTTACAGATAAGGAACTGAGACCTAGAGACATTAAATGATTTATCTAAAATTATATAGGCATCTCAGTTGCCCCAAGACAACTATGGGGAATTTTTTTCTTAGCAACACTGGAAATTTTACAGAATTTTACTGTTCCTTCCCTCTGAGATTACCTGTTGTAGACACTGTATGTATTTTGTTATTTGCATAGTAGAAGAGTCAAGATTTGAGGCCAAACCCTTGGATATCAGATGAACATTCTGGGTGCTTAATTAACATTTTTTCTGCATTCGAATGGAAGTTAATTGCTCCTGGGCAAAAAGCTAGCTGAGCAGAACCAGGAACTCAGGTCTCCTGACTCCTAATCTGGTGCCTTCTCCACTACACCCTGCCCTTCACTCCTTTGGGATACTTTTAACAATCTGAATAAATCAAAATTTGAAATTAATTTTTGCACTGTCTATAGGAAAGAAAGAAAGAGATTCCTGGAGAAATGAATAAAACGTTCATTCATTCCCACCTGGATAAAATTCAAATTTATATTAAACAGAGAGGTGATTACTTATAGTAGAAAAAGCTTTATAGGATTCCCCAGTATAGCAAGCTCCCCTTCAGATATCTAAAATCTGATTCTGTTTTTAAAAATTCAACTTATACACAAGTTCATTCATTCTCTAGAGCTGGAAGAAATTATAGAGGTCAGATAGTCCAATTTTCTCATTTTACAGATGTCTAGAGCAGTCAAATGACTTGTCCAACATCACATGGCCAGTTAGTGGTTCAACCAAGATTAGAACCCAGGTCTTCAGACTTTTGGGCCATTTCTCTTTCCATTATACAATGTTTACTCTCATTTAAATTTTCAGGCACATGCTTTGTATCATGAGGTTTGTGTTACTCAATAAAAGGCACTTTTAAATCACTCTTAGAACTATTTTAGCAACACATTTATATATCAACAATGATATATTAACTATACATGATTATTATCTATCTGTTCCTTGAAACAAGTCGATAAAATCTCTATTTTGTGAAGTAAAGCTGAATCAGGAAAACAAAATGCACAAATACACAATAGCTATAACCCTGTAAATGGAAAACACAAAACAAAAAAAAATTGCAAATGATCACTGTGTAGTGATAATAACTAAGTGTTTTCCTGAAGACATACTAAAAATGCACCTCCCTCCCTTCTTTGTAGAGGTAAGGAGCTACAAGTATGAAATTGTGTGGAGCCCTCCTTTCAGGATACTCTATAACTCACAACACACACACACACACACACACCCCATGCACTTCCCAATAGCTGCTTATAGTAACACAATTAGCTCACACAATTAAGTAACACAAAAGCAAAGACATTATATAAGATGACATCGGTGACCTGCAAATATTCGGTCCATACACACAGAGCCTGTGGGAAGAGTGGACTCAAACTTAAGGTCCCCTCCCTCCCCAAACTACCTTATATCCATTTTGCATACATCGTGTATGTACCTACACCTCTACGAGTTGCTTCTCCTACTAAAATGTTAGCACCTTACCTGCAAGACACACTTCACTTTGCCTTTGTATTCCTAAGGCTTAGGATAATGCCCTGCATGTAGGAAAGGCTTTAGACATATTTGCTGATTGATTTACTTAGAAATTCCAGGAAAGAAGGATCACATCTAACAGGTGTTTCATCAAAGGCTACATGGAATAAGCAGCATTTGAGCTGAGCCTTGAAGGAAAGGAAGGATCTAAACATTAAGAAAGGATACATTCCAGATACATGGGAGATGCATATCATTATAATATTTACATAGCACTTTAAGTTTTGCAGAATTCTTTTTTTTTTTTTGGTGAGGCAACGGGGGTTAAGTGACTTGCCCAGGGTCACATAGCTAGTAAGTGTCAAGTGTCTGAGGCTAGATTTGAACTCAAGCCCTCCTGACTCCAAGGCCAGAGCTCTATCCACTGCGCCACCTAGCTGCCACCCAGCTGCCACCCAGCTGCCCCCTAGAATTCTTTACATATGTTATCTCATTTAATCCTCACAACCTTGAGAGTCAGGTGCTATTGTTATTTCCATTTCACAGATAAAGAAATGGAGACCAACATAAGCTAAGTCACACACTTAACCTCAGGATCACACAACTAAGTAAGTGTCTGAGGCAGAATTTGAATTTGGGCCTTCTGATTCTAAGTCTAACCCTTTATCCACTGTGCCACATAGCTGTACAAATGTATAATGTGGTAGATTAATATAATGGAATAATACTGAGCTGTGAGAAATGAGGAAAAATACAGCTTCAAAGAGACATGGAAAGACTTGTATGAACCAATGCAGTGCAAAGTAAACTAAACCATAATTATTTATAGAATAATATCAATAGTATAAAAATGAATATTTTTATTTAATATTTTTTCCTTAATTACATGTAAAAACAATTTTTAACATTCATGTTTTTGAAATTTTGAATTCTAAATTCTCTTCCTCCTTCCCTCCTTATTGATTTTTTTTTGGGGGGGTGAGGCAATTGGAGTTAATTGACTTGCCCAGGATCACACAGCTAGTGAATGTTATGTGTCTTAGGCTGGATTTGAACTCAGTTCTCCTGACTCCAGGGCCGATGCTCTATCCGCTGTGTCACCTAGCTGCTCCTCCACCCCCCTTATTGAGAAGGAAAACAATTCATTATAGATTATAGGTTATATATGTGCAGTCATGCAAAACATATTTCCATATTAGTCATGTTGTGAAAGAAAACACAGACCAAAAAAGCCAAGAAAAATAAAGTTTAAAAAATATGCTTCAAACTGTATTCAGACACCATCAGTTCTTTCTCTGGAGGTAGACAGCATTTGTCATTTTGAGTCCTTTGGGATTGTCTTAGATTATTGCATTGCTGAGAGTAGCTAAGTCATTCACAATTGGTCATCATACAATATTGTTGTTGCTGTGTGCAATGTTCTCCTTGTTCTGCTAAAAAAAAAAATGAACCATTTTGAAAGACTTAAGACATTTGATCAACCCTGATTCCAGAGCCTAAGGTACGGTGGCCAAGGGGCTCCTGTTGCTCTCTGCTGAAGCCCAGTGGCTCCCCATGATCTCCAAAGATATTGAATTAAACCAGGCCTACACAACATACGGCCCACGGACAAGGGATTTCTAGCAGCCCTTGAAAAATGGACGGTTGCCACTGCCCATCTCCTGTTTGTCACGTGACCCGCTGTAACCAACCAAGTAGAGAGCGTCAGTCTCTAGTCTAACCTGTCTGTGGCCTGAAGAAGTGTAGCCTCTTTTAATTTTGGGCCCCTATCCACTGTCAGGTTGTACAAGTCTGAATTAAACCTTCTAGTTCTTGTAACTGACACAAACCCAGTTTGGAGGCGAAAAGAAGCTTTGAAAGCATCTCAGTTGACATTATCAAAATGTGTACATGCTGTCATGGTGATGAGAAATTCTCACTTACTTATGAATCATTCCAACAAACTTGCTGTGATAGCAAATCATATTTAAGAGAGTTGATTCTTGTATCCCGGAAAGAACTGAAAATTTGGAGACTTATTTGGTGATCCTGGCAATGATTCTGCCGAGTATTATCCTCCAGGTAGTAGGGATGGAAAATATGAGTTATTAAACTGTAGCAAAGGAAGAAATTACTGAAGAGATTAGAGATCTCATGACCAAAATGACATGGAGGGGCAGGGTACAGAAATGCTGGTGGCAGAATCTCTCACAAAGCACTTTGTTATAGTGACAGCATAAGCAAGGAGTTAAAGATAACCAAGAAATGAAGTCGAGAATATTGGTCATTTAGACTGCAGAAGACAATGTATCGCAATATATGAACTTCATGAATGTCCTCTTCGTAGCGCAGAAACAGAATATTATGATTGACTCTTGTGTCTTAGATACTGATTCAGGGCTCCTCCAACAGGCCTGAGACATTACAGGGGGCATATACCTGAAGGTGTCCCAGATGCCATCTCTTCTTCCATATTTATTATAGGTATTTCTTCCTGATCAAGACCAAAAGTCTCAGTTAAACCTCTCACCTCCTATTCATGTTGACTACAGAGCTGCCTGCTTCTGCCATAGAAATCTCATTGTAGGGGCAGCTAGGTGGCGCAGTGGATAGAGCACTGGCCCTGGATTCAGGAGGACCTGAGTTCAAATCCAGCCTCAGACACATAAGACTTACTAGCTGTGTGACCCTGGGCAAATCACTTAACCCCATTACCTATACCCCCAAAAAAACAAAGAAAGAAAAGGAAAAAGAGAAATCTCATTGTAATTGGTTACATCTGCTTTGTATGTTTGTCAATATTCTGCAATTTCAGCCCTATTTGCACCTCATGTGAGACAACTTTTAAAATTTCAACTGCCACCTGTTCTGAAAGCCAAAAAGAAGACATTAAAAGCATATTCCTAGTGACCATAAACCGCCCCCCCAAACACTTAACCCTCTTTTCCTACAGTAGAGATTTTAACTGAGTAATCTATGCTGAATGTGTTGTTAGAAGAAATGATAGAATACTTTGGAATTGTCTTAGATCATTGTCTTAACCAGAGTAACTAAATTTTTCACAATTGGCCATCATTACAATATTGCTATAATTTTGTAAAATATTCTCCTGGTTCTCCTCACTTCACTTTGTATCAGTTCATATAAGTCTTTCTAGGTTTTTCTGAAGCCATCCTGTATTTCTTACAGCACAATGTTATTTTATCACAATAGTACATTAAAACTTGTTCAATTTATTTTTTAAAATGATAAAAAATTGTTTTTACATGTAATTGAAAAAAATATTTTTTAAATGTTTAAAAAGAAGAAAGTGGAGAAGTTAAATCTCTTATCTCTTCTTTGGGGCCATCTTGTTCTTTATAATTTTACTACATTTACTTTTGTTTCATAATTGCTCTATTTACTTTGTTATAGTAATTGTGTATGTTATCTCAGATTTGCTTGCACCACTTCATGTAAGTCTTTCCATTTTCTGTGTATTTATCATGTTTGTCACTCCTTCCAGTAATATTCCATTGTATTCCTATATCACAATTTGTTTAGACATACCCCAATGAGTGGCATATACTTTGTTTCTAATTTGTTGCTAACACAAAAGTATTGCTATTAATATTTTGGCCTATAAGAGGACTTTCTTCTTATCAATAATATCATTTGGGTATATGCCTAGCAGTGGAACCTCAAAGTCAGCAGGCATGAATATTTTTGTCATATTATTTGAATAATTCCAAATTAATTTCAAAAATGGTGGAGTTAATTAATAGCTCAAACAATAAAGATCTACTATTCTAACATTAAAAAAATGATAACTGTATACAAATAGCTGAGAGCACTAATGTGGCTAGTCCCTTCAGGACATTTTTTCAAAAACAAATTCCTCCTTTGTTTCCAGGGGGGAGAGAGCTGGTTGGAGAGGTTCTGCTCCTGGGTAACATGAGGGGGAGAACACTTACCTCTCCTCTGAATTTTTTTTTAGGCAGCTGGGGATAAGTGACTTGCCCAGGGTCACACAGCTAGTGAGTGTGAAGTGTTTGGTCTGAGGCTAGATTTGAACTCAGGGCCAGTGCTCTACCCACTGCCCCCCCTAGCCGCCCCTCTTCTGAATTTTTAAAGCACTGTTATTTTCAGTTTATTTCAATAAGTATTAAGCTATAGTTTGAAGCGTACTATATTTGCTCTCTTTTTTTGTTGTTATTTTTTGTTTCTTCTTTCTCATGGTTCCTCCCACTGGTTCTAATTCTTCTTTCCAACATGACTAGTGTGAAAATATGTTTAATATTAAAAAATAAGTATTAAGCGGTTTACAATGTGCATGAGTGCTATGTATAATCGTCTCTTGGGTAATCACTTATTAAAATAACCACTGTGTTGACTTCCGATGTTATCACATGAATATTTTGTCTTCTGTCTGGTACTCTTTTGTGAAATGCAGGCTATGTGAAATTTTCACATAATTATGACAATTTAAACACATTTTTACTCATCCCCACCTCTTGTGGCTTTAATCAAGACAGAGATTCTTCCTTAAGTAGCCAGCTATTAGCTTTTGCAGCAGAAATGTAAACAAAATTCTCCATTCATTAATTTGCTACTCATTCTCCCTCTCAGACATCAGTCCTTAACCCTGAAAAAGCTTTTATTAAGCACAGCTATTTTTACCCAAACAATAATCACCAAATGATTACAGAGCCTTTTTTTTTTTGATAAATTAGGAAAGTTAACGTTGTATGGCAAATGTATAAGCACTCTGGCAGAAGCTAACGTGGACATTAAAGGATGGTTTCCAGGAGAATAGGAAAGTCACAGGAGTTTTCCCTTTTAATGATTCTTTTCCCATTTTAATAATTTGCTAGAAAATCTCTGGAAATTTTTTTTTGGGGGGGGGGCGGCTAGGCAGTGGGGTTAAGTGACTTGCCCAGAGTCACACAGCTAGTGAGTGTTACATGTCTGAGGCTGGATTTGAAGTCAGTGTCTTCCTGACACCAGGGCCAGTGCTCTATCCAGTGAGCCACCCAGCTGCCCCAAATCTCTGGAAATCTTCACCATTCCACTGCAATCTTCCTTAAATTCAAAACGATTTTTAAATTCAGTTTTAGAGAAATAACTTTTCCATAAATATCTGAAATTATCGAAAGTGCTTTTGTCTTCCAATTTGTAGAAGAAGGATTAGGGGAAAGGAAAATTATGGAACCAAATAAGAAAGTTTTCTTAGCATAACACTGTTCTTGTTTCCCAGAGAAGCCAGACTCTTAATTAAGTTCTATTTGCTGAGGGAATTCGGACTGACTTTTCTGGTTTTGTTAAAGACTCTACTAAAAATGTTTGTGATAATTTTTGCAAGTGTTTATTCTTTCAAAAGTCCTTAATAAGAAGAAAAAAAAGCACTCAGTCTTTCCAGTGTGTTGGAATGCTGTTGTTTTAAAATTGTTGCTAAATCTTGTGGGAAGAGCCCTAGAGTTGGAGTCAAAGGACTTAGGTTCAAATCCTGACTGACTGGACTTTGAATTTCCTTATACGATGAGGGAGTTAGCCATCACCTCCTTGGTTTCTTCCAGCTCTAAATCTTTAATCCTGTAACTTGAATTTAAATCCTTTTTCTGACATATATTAATTTTGTGACCATGAACAAGTCATTTCTTTTCCCTAAGCCTCAGTGCTCTCAGCTGTAAAACAGGAATTATAAATCTGTCTACTTCACCAGACTATAGTGAAGACAATGTTCTGTTAAAAAACTGTAAAATGCTATATGAATGTGTGCATTTGGATGTAATGGGGATCATTGTTTTAAGGTAAGCAAAATAGTTGGTGACTACAAGAGCTTCAGATGTTCAAGGGATCAGAAAAATTTCAGAACACGCATCAGGATTATCTTTTCTCTTGTCTCATTTCAAAACTTACTAATTTGGGGACAGCTAGGTGATGCAGTGGATAGAGCACTGGCTCTAGAGTCAGGAGGGCCTGTGTTCAAATCTGATCTCAGACACATAAAACTCACTCATCAAAAAAAAAAAACTTACTAATTTATTCAATTCGGTTTCACTTTATTTTCATTGTATTTATGGTTAATTTTAATATGAATTTTTTCAGTAAAATAACTTGAAGTTATTTTTCAAAAAAAGGAAAAAATAGACCCACTTTATGACTGAGAAATAACGACTTAATATGCAAAATAAGAAATGCATTTTGGAATGGGAATAACATGGGAATATGTTTTGCTTGACTGTGCTTATGTGATACAGGGACTTTGTATTTCTTTTCAATGGGTGTGAAAAGGAGGGAGGAAGAAAAAATGAACGCTTATGAATTTTTTAAAAATTGTAATGTACAAATATCTGTGCCAGAGCCAGATAATTTGTGATTGCTGCAATGCAATTGTAGTTGGTATATCCCTTTTCCTAACATATATAAGAATGTTAGGATTTCATAAACTACAACTGCTCTTCTTCCTTTGTGAATGAATTGACACTGCTTGCTAGAAAACATCAAAGGAAAGCCACAAACTCTTTGAGCAAAGTCCCATTATCTTTTCACCAAAGACCATTTCTCAGTTAGGCAATAGCCAAATTATTTACAGATA